GACTGGAGATATAGCCACAGTCACCCGGAACATGGTACGGTGCCACGTTCCGCGTCCTGGGAACGTGTGTTCCCGTTCCGGGAACGTGGATCATCAGTTTCATCCCAACAGTGTGGAACATCCTTTCTCAAGGAGCGTTCCGAAGTGTACCCCGTTCCACGATCCCCGTTCCATGACCCAATCGTTCCGGGAACTCTGTGACTGTGGATGTACCATATGCTTAGGCTTCGTCTCCATTCCCTTTACGCATGCATGCATGTTCGTTCCGCGATCACGAAGGAATTACGATCGAGCTAGTCCTACGGCAAGCATGGACCATGAATGAATTGACCGCTTGATGTTAGGCAAAGGAAACTTTCGGTGTCCTCTTGAAGAATAATATTATTGGAAATGTTTGTCCATATGAGCACCTGATGATGCGAGAGGTCGTTGTTGGGCAAACAAAAACATCGTGCATATATTATAGATGAGGAATCGACTTAGATTCAGGGCATGTTTCGATGAACTAGGGCTAATTACTAGTTGGACCAAAAATTAGCTTAAATTAGCTAGAGTTGCCTAACTAGTTAGCCGACAACTAGTTAAAGGCTTGGCTAAACAATTAGCTCACATGTTAGTACTCCTGTTTGCATACACTAGCTAGGGCTAATTTTAGCTAATTTTTAGCTAGCTAGTAATTAGCTCTTGCATCTAAATAGACCCTTAATCTAGGAAACATGCATATATCTAGGATAGCTGCATATGAAATTGGATCAGAACCGTGCGTGCGTACATACGTACGTAGAAGAACTAATAATTCTTCAGGAACAAAACTTCAATGCATGACACACCACCACTATATATATATTCGGTTCTGCTGTAGCATGAAGTGAATATATGTACGTGCAATGATGTCGTCCCCCTAGTGCGACACATTCTCTTAATTAAATTATGTTTTGCGTAACCATCAAGCCCCGGCCCTATCCTAGCTAGCTTATTTCGTCAGCTGTTGCCGTCCAAAAAGATGTTTTGCTCCGGATCTAGCTTACCTAGTTGAGCTAGCGCCCTGTCAGGCGGTAATTGGGAGTTGGGAGATGCCACCAAATCCTATATATATATATATATATATATATATATATATATATAGAGAGAGAGAGAGAGAGAGAGAGAGAGAGAGAGAGAGAGAGAGAGAGAGAGAGAGAGAGAGAGAGAGAGAGAGTTGAATCGGCAAGCGATGGCGACGGGCCACGCGCCGTACGTCGACCATGCATGCAACCAAGCAAGAATACGCACACATGTCTATACGCTAGTACCTAGTTCACTTCGCTGATTCCTAGCTAGCTAGCTAGTTCTCCTATAGTTAAGCTTCCTGGCTGCAATGCAACCGGCCGGCCAGTTGCACACCACGCAATACATGCATGCATGCATCATCTATCTGAAATTAACAAGCATGCCTCTACGTACAGTACGTAGGTTGCATTGTCTGCATGCAAGCTGATGACAGCATGCAGCAATATAATGCATGCAAGAGGCCGGGGGAGGCCCAGTGGTGAAAGGGAGATCGAGGAGATATCATAACATAATACTATAACCTAGCTCGGCCAATAATTTCAATGGATGGATGCTGCTGCAGCCAGCTAGCAGATCTTGCCGACTGATTTGATGCGCTCTTTTTTCTTCTCAGACGATATGGATCGATCGATATATTCCCTGACGATGCTTGCTGAGGCTGCCACCACCAGCAGGAGGAAGGTGAAGCTTCACCTACTGTTACGTTGACTTATGTGGCCAGGCAAAAGCTAAGGCGCAGTAGAAGACTTCGTGCAGGTGCCGCGCGCCGCAAAAAGGAATCGAAATTTCCCGTGTCCTAGCTAGCTTTTTCTCTACGTACACAATCATATCTGCATATATAGTTTTGAGCGATTAATTAATTAATTGGTTCCTAACCGGCGACAGGAGCACTGTAGCGCTTCCCTATCGAAAAAAAACGAAAGATATATATATATATATATATATATATATGTTCACTGTGGATTGTGAAATTTTGTCAAACATACATAGACCTATGTAGTAGTAGTAGCCTAAAGGGTAGACGAAAACGAGCCATGCACCTAGCTTGGAGTGCTAGGGCACATGTTCTAGAGGCTGTGATTGACACGAATGGAAGGGTATTGGTTCAGTCATAGTCAGCCAAAAGGAGCTTTGTCGTCGACGACTGGCCTACCTTGCTGTGAAAAAAGAAAAGTTGGAACCAGCTAGCTAAAATTGTGTCAAGTAAGAGTTCTTCGAGAAAACGTACTGTTGGCAAGAATATGGCATGCACACTGTAAATCAGCGTTCAGGGAAATGAGTGCTGTTTCTATTATGTATGCAAAAGTTTTGACTTTTCAGTACTAGTAGAAAAGAAGCGAGCCTCCGTCGGGCTCACCGGCCCCAACCATGGAAGCAGCCTGCAACCATTCCTCCAGCCGGCCCATCTATCTATCCATATGGTATGGACTTCATCTAGCCCCATTTGCTGTCGGACAATGGTTGTCTTCGCGCGATCCGGAATGAGCCCATCTCAAACCGAGCGGTTTAATTTCCATCCAGCGCCTTGCAATGGCCCACGAAAAAAAAAAGGCCCAGATCTGATGAGACGCGACGCGATGTTGTCTTCTGCGCCATAGCACATCATGATTCATGTTCAAAAAAAAAAAATATAGCACATCATGATTCATGACCTCAATGTTGCATTGTTGCAGATTTCAAAAAAAAAATGTTGCATTGTTGCATGTGTGAAGTCGCTAAGCATGTGTGTGGCTTGCGGCCTAGGCTACGTTCATGAGCTCAGTGCATCCCATCCCTACAAGCTTTGCTGCATTATTATGGTTCTTGTACTTCCTAAACTGACGCACATCTTTCCAAGAAAAAAAAAGTTGCACCTAGCTAGCTAGCTATTTCATTTATCCTAAAATATAAGAGATTATCAGTTATCATAAGTCCAACAATCTCAAGTTTGACCGATTTTGTAAAAAAACAATATGTATAATATCGAGTGAGTTCCATTCAATACATTATAAATATATTTTCATAATTAACAGTACTATAAATGCATTTTCTTATTACAATTAATTCCAGCCTCTGCCTCTGGCTGATTTAAGTCTTACAAGAAAACCAAACAAAGCTTTGACATAAATAGAAACTCAAAAACATGCGCCTGAACATTTAGTTTTAATGGTTCTAGCCTCTTGTTGATTTAAGGTTTAAAAAACAGCAAACAGAGCTTGTAGAGACGGCAAAATAAACACTAGTCCTATTAGAAGGTAGGCGCAACTTTTTGCAAAGATCTCCATTGTCTTTTGTCTCTCTTGTAAATAGCATACCTATACTTCATTATGGGTTTCCCGCTATCCTTATGAAGAATAATAAGCCTATAGTATGCCTAATGCGTTGAATATATCTGCAAGTAGAAGTATAACCTTTCCAACAAATTGCACTTGGTCCCACCTAAACTTGAGAACGCAATGTGTGCCCAAACCTCAAATAAATCATTTTGTTTCTTGATTGAAGACTATAAGCCGAATGAAACTTGAAAAATCATCCAAACAAATCTTGTAACATGAAAATAAAAAGAACAGATACTGTGAGATGAAATGTCATTCAAGAGCAGTTGAGGCTAAAAAGAGAGAAGAAAAGCAAGGTTTGGCTTATTGTATTGATCTGCACCACCTGAAGAAAAGATTCTTCATAGCCTCGTTCAGCTAGTAGAATTCTTTCTAAATCTTGTTCATTTCACATTATGGGTTGAGACATCCAACTTCATCCTTGCCTTGGAAAGAGAGGATCGGAACTTCATAGGTTTTCAAGGACGAGGGAGAACTGCACTTGCATTCCCTTGCTGAAGAAACAGAGTGGTGCAGTTTTCTTGTGTGTAAATTTTTGTTTGATTTTGTATAGAGTGAGATAGAAAAAAAATGTTAAACCTAACAAAAATTATGTCTTCCATAAAAAATACAAAGGAACCGCTGGACAAAAAGGGCTTGCACAGTATAACTTTTCAAGGAAATCAGTGCTCATCACTTTTGTTTGGTATACAGTTTCACTTTTTTCAGCGTAAAATGAAATCAAAAGCAAATTGGTCGGCATCGAAATGGAATACTAAGAAGAAGTGGGCCTCCATCGGGCTCACTGGTCCCCAAGACACCAACTAGAAGCAGACTGCAATCTTTTGTACAGCCCATTCACTGTGCGTAGTCGTCTCGACACAGCGGCGGCTTCCACTTTCCAGTGGATGATAATGGCCCACGGACAGGCCGAGTGAGAGCCATGTGGACAAAGCCCATCTCTAATTAAGGGCCTCAAGTTAGTTAATTGGACCTCTGCTGGTTTATTGGCTACGTGGTTTGCTGGTCTTCTAGGAGCACATTTGGGCTAATACAAATTGTCCAAGCTTCTATATGCGACGCCTTTTTTCTACTAAAAGAAAACTTATCTGCGATGTTAGCATTTGTAACGTCGCTGCTTTGTGGTGTCAGTAGACGCTCACTGATCAGTAAGAACACATGTATTGTGAAGGGCATTCATGTGTTTGCACTTGAGCTTCTTGATCGCTTGGGTGATATGGCTGGTGAGAGCTAACCGCACCCGAGGATGCAATGAGGATAGATTGCAGCTTTTCTCCACAGCAGTACGTGTGGTTAGTCGATAATTTAACAAAAAAAAAGCATTGGTAAAAAGCACAGGAAAATTTGTCGAAATCAAATCAGTAGCACTCTGAATATTCATACAGTAGTAGTTTCTTGTAACGAAATTAATCTTACTACAGCTGATGTAGTCATCATTAAAAAAATGGAGGAGCAACAATTATTTATACAACGAAAGTGAGCAATGAAATCCAACTTTGCAATATTGTTATGTTGTTTAATGGTCAACAAGGGGTTATTATTATTATATAAAATAGAACGGCAAGCAAATAGATAATGCAACCTACATCTAAGCAGCAGGAGAAAAGAGGGAACAAATCCACATGGATGCATCTCTCATGAGAGTGAACTGAAACTCTCCACTGGATCCGATTCCTCTAGCATCACCGCTGCTTGGAAACAGTCGGCAGCATCAGAGATTCTCCCATCAGATCTGTGCACTTTTCCTAAGTAAAGCCAAGCCATCCGATTTGTAGGCTCGACTCTTAGGGCGTCCGAGAGGAAGCACCTCGCTGCAGGTAAAAACCTCGGCCCTTGCTTGGAGAGCATTGCGCCGATGGCCACCTTCGACGGCACATGTTCAAGCTCAGTCGAGAATGCATTGACGTAGGCGGCTAGCGCATCTTTTGTTTGGTCTCGCGCCTGATGCATGTAGCCTGCATGGACGAGTACAAATAAACATGGATAGGTACATGTATAGTGAAAATTAAGCTAGTGATTCCAAAATGCCCATGTTAAAGAGAAATGCATGGTCACTAGCATGCATAAGGGTATGCAGTAATGAATTTTGCCTCACCTTCTGCATGGAGTGTTGCAGCTGAGTACGACTTCAGGGCTTTAGCCTTCTTCAAACATATTTCAGCATCTCTCCAGTACGAGAGACTGGAGTACAAATTAGCAAGACCTTGCCAGATTTCAAACTCGGTGACACCACCCCTGAATGATAAGTGAAGAGCGAATGGGAAAACTTCCAAGATAAATTTAAAGATTCAATCATGGTAGTGTGGTAGTGCCTAATAGGAGCATCAGAAAATACAGTAACCAACTTGAATGTCTAAAAGATAGGTGTGCCTAAATGAAGTGAACAATATGCTTTAGTATATGAATCTTTTTAGATAATCAGATGTTTTTAGATAGAAATGGAATTAGAAGTTGCTTTCTGATAACTAATCAGTTTGATACTTGTGCGCATTGAAACAACAAAACATACCTCTATAGCGTTCTTGCAAGATGCAGAGGAATTCTTTTGGGCCTGAACGAGAGCCAGAAGAGCACGGTATGCTTCAACTGCTTCCATAGGCGATGACTGAGCAACCTTCAACTTTGCCTTTACCCTAAGTAAAGATCCTTGATCCAACTTTGCAGTCTCATCTAAGGCAGCGTCTGTTGCGACTTCTGCTTCCAAAAATCTCTGTTGTGCAGAAAGAACCAATGCTAGCAGCCTCCAGCCTTTCGAAACTGACCCACCAGTTGCTTCTATAAACTCCTTGGCGCATCTCAGGGCAGCATTCATGTTCCTTTGCTCAGCATATTCAACTCCCATGTCAAATATTAGGTCTGCGTTGTAGCGGTTAAGACTAATCGACTCTGTAAGTGACTTCAAGGTTTCTGTCTGCAATAGAGATCTTTGGTAGTCTGATGAAACAACCTTGGACTTATTACCTAGACAAGTCCCTAAGAAATGGAGGCCGACACTCTTCAGATGAGAATCCGATGATTCAGCAAGTGCGATTACTCTTCTTGCATATTCAACACCCTCAGAAGAAATATGGTGGTCCTTACTGCATATCTTAGCAGCTAATAATAAGGCAAGGATGTCATTTGGATTCTCAAGCTTGTTTAAAGATTTCCTCAGAAAATTCAGCGCTATATCTTTCTGACCAGCTACATAGTAGCAAAGTGCTAGTGTGGCCCATCTCTCGGTGCGAGGATATATTCCAGGTAAAACCTCTTCAAGTTGTTTTGCAAGAACCAGTGGTTCACCACAAAGAGACAAGGCATAGGTTAAATGTTCCATCACTGAAGGATCCCAATGGGTCTTGCCCTGGTACCAATTCCTAAGTACTATCATCAAAAGTAGAAGAGCCTCTTCCACATTATTCTTTGGAACAAAACAACCTTCAACTTGTTGAGCCATGCTGGGAGGGCTCCAATCTATATTGCTGTACAACAGAAAAGATGCATATCTCTTTTGAATCCTAGTCCGACATTCATCATCAAGATTCCATGGACTAAGAAGAGCCCGTCGGTAAGAAGCTAATGCTTCCTGGTAGGAGCCAGCATGTTTCCAGGCTTCAGGAAGAAGTTCTACGGATTTATTGACAGTTTCCTGTAACTTTTGCTCGATATCAGGAGTACCATTCTGGAAAATACTTTCAACAGAATCAAGTACACTTTTGCACTGGTTAGCAGCTTCTGCTCGTTCCACAAGTTTTTGCATTAGTCATCAAAGAGTTCATAAGAAGCATAAGAAAGAAGTTGTCCAATGATATGTAGTGATTTGTACCTGTCGATTTCCCTAGCTTTTGAAGGGACAGTGATTTCAAGTAAATGGCTTCAAGAACAAGGCTAGCAGGATTATTTTGCGAGACAGAACTTGGTAACTCTGATTTTGTCCGCCCTTTCTTCGATGGAGTCTTATCAGAGAGGGATGGCTGGAACTGCTGAATTGCAGCTTGAAGGTCAATTCCGTCAAATACACGAAGGGCAACTTCCACATTTCCTTTCTGAAATTCCAATCTTCCGAGGAGAGCTCTTGCTTCCTATTATCAATATACATTTGGATAAACTCAACCTCAGGAAACAAAGAAACATCATAGTATAAAAACTGGGATACACTGAAGAATCTTCATAGGTTAGAGAGCACACCTAGTACTAAATCAATCATGATAATACAAATTTGCATGAAAGCAATGGTGAAAAATTCTTGAATTATTTTTAGCATATTGTACATGTCATTTATCACCTTACAAAATTTGAGTGTGAAACGCAATTCAAATGTGGATAAATAAAAAAAAAATTCTCATTAGGGGAAGTTAAGTAAACTTTTGATTCGAGTGTCAAATGAAAAAGTGAATAGTCCAATGTAGTAAAATGGACAGTTCCTTTTTTTTTGCTAAAATAGGAATATATTGAATGCTTCTTTTTTGTATATTTAATTTGTGTTCTACACCTTTTGTATTCAATTATATTTTTATTTCATTTTTATATCATATTTTGCATAAAAAGGTTATTTGAATTGCAACTTTGATCTCCTACATGTATTTTGGGTTCAACAAACTTATACATCCAAGTTATTGTGTCTTTCCCCTGGCACTTGGATAATTAATTTATCAGCATGTACTGTGAATTTGCTTTATTTTTTCCCTGACACTTCTTTTGTTGGGAAAAGTCATGAGAATAAACGGTGGCAATCGATGAAGGGAACTAATATGAGAATTTGATTTTTAAATCCTATCCCTTGTTTGTTTCATGAAGGAAAATAAGGGGAGTTTGAGAAGGCATTCATATCATCTATTTGGTGTATGGATTTTGAGTAGGAAATTACATGAAAAGGTCATGGTAAACGGTGATGATGCATTCAAGGTCCACTAGAATCACATTTCGCCCTCAACCACCACGTCTACCACTGGAAAGTAATCGATGAGAATCTCCCATTCCCATCACACCAAAACTTCGGCTCTCACAAAACAAACAAAAGAATTCTAAATCGGTACCTCTAAACTCCAATTCCATCGTCCTTCCAATTACCAAACCAAACCTAACAATTCCATTGAAATTTAGCATGGTTGCTTGTAAATTTATCAGAACAAAGGCAATCATTTCAGTCAGAGTATAGGTTTTTAATTTCTGATGTTTACAACTAGCTTATACGATCCAGCTTATAAGTGTGGAAGAAGAAGAGTAGTTGAGATAAACTGATTGAAAACAGCTTATAAGATTATTATGTAAGGACTATATAAAGCTCGCCTATATAACAAATTGGTGATCGTAGGGATAACAACATTTATGACCTCGAACGCCGACAAATTTTGTTTGCGGTTCGCGTCATCCACACTTCATCTTGTACAGAATAAACGCCTCGGTGATCAACTTCAGACCAACCAAACATGACAGACCAAAATTAAATAAAAAAAAGTGTCAGATTTCTGACCTCATAATTAAGGGAGAGTCCCTCGGGGTGAGACGACTCAGCGCCCGCCGCTGGCACGACGCTACCTCCGCTCGCCTTCACCGGCTCGTCCTCTGGCGCAGTCACCTCTGCCTCTGCCTCTGCCGATGGATCCGACACTGCCTCCGCCGGTGATGTAGCTTCTGCGGGGGGCATCTCGCCTCCATCATCGGGATCCGAAGCCATGTCTCCTGTCGGGTAGAGAGGCGTTCTGTTTTGTCGTCAGACTCAAATGGGAGAGAGAGAGAGAGATGGGCGGAGCATCATCCATGCATGGTTTGTTCTTGACATACAGGCGTTCTCACCGCATGCAGTACTCTATTTTTAGGAGTTTGCTAAAACTTTAATTCTTTCCTATATTTGAAATTATTAGATATTCCTTTTGTACCTATTTGTATTTGTATTTTTCACCATTAATGTCGATAATATACTTGTGGATAATTTATAAGACTAATATGTTATTAAAGCCATGAAACTATGACATACGACAGGCAAGCTTAGAGCACGCCCAATACAGCATATATCGATGGTGGTCTCAGATAAAAGTTTAGTTCCATATAGATTAAAAGCCCAAAGACAACCAAACTCACATTGGAAAACACAACTAGCTTTTTTACTTCTCTCCACCCATCATACTCTCTTTTCTTTCTTCTACTCTCTCACATGTCCCTTTCTATCAATGTCTTTAGCACAGAGCACCAGTGATCTGCAGCTGACAATCTGCAAGCCACTACTTTACCTCCACCTCTACTATGGCATCTAGACCTAGTTGGCTGGTTGAGGCTACAAGCTATATCACCGCGTTGGGGCGCCGGTTTTAATTGACTGGTGACTAGTATAAAAGGTCATAATGGAAGAGATGAGTGCAATTTTGTTAGTTGTATCTTGTACGTATAGTCCTTTTCACAATACCTGGCACAATGAATTGATAATAAAGGCTTTGTTCGGCGGGATTTATTGATGTTGCGCCTGATTTGTAGGGCTGATTTGTTGTGAGAGAAAAACATTATTCCATGACTGAAAAAGTATGGCTGATTTTAGCTTATAAGCTCAAGCCAACAGAACCAAAATATATATGAAGTAGTTAAATCAGATTTTCATTTAATTTTTTTGGCTTGCTGAGAGCTTGACCTCTCATAGCCGGGAGGCTACAAGCCTACAACTATAAGAGCTCGTCTTATAGAGCACAGTGAAATGATGATAAATTTCTCTAACTTTATGTTTAGAGAAATACATTAACGTCTCTTAACTTTAAAAAAAATAAGTTTCTACTTAGAGAGAAATATACATTAAAGAAGACGTAAGAAAGAACATTATATTATTAGTTTCATTAAGGCCCCGTTCGCGTGCCCTTAAACCCGGCTTGATCCGCTTCTTTTTTCATCTGGAACATCGTTTTTCTCTCATAAATTCCTCCAGCATTCCTCCAAACCATCCAAATTCCTCCGGAATTCCTCCAAGCGAACAGGCCCTGAATGCACATCTCGATAGTGCATTTATAGTTGGTATGTTTTTTTAGTTTGGTTATAGTTCAATGTAATAGCATAGCTTACAGTACATCAGGGAGTGTTTGAGCATTCATGTATAATTTATTAACCTCTTAGGGCGCTGCTAAGGCGTGTTGTATTGAACATTTTCTCTACCTTAACTAGATGATACCCTCGCATGTTGCTACGGTAACTTTATAACGATATATAGTCAATCCATGAAAGGAAATATATAAGGTGTTTTTATTTTAACCTTTGATGAAAAGTCAAACGAATAGTTCATCTAGTTGTAGATATATTGGTAAATATATATTGCTTTATAATGCTCTATTATAGCTGAGTCTTGGCATAAACTATAGTAATAATTAATAACTCCATGATTGAAAAAAGAAGTAAAGAATGACGTATGATGTATTGACAACCCAGTAAGAACAGCAACAGATATTGAACAGTTTGACTAATGAAACATTAATGGTAAATTGATTACTAATTTTGACTTTAACTAGATGATACCCAGCGTGCTGCCACGGGGATTTATAGTGCTAATATAAAAAAGAATTGATGGTGCAAGAAATAGTGAAATCATAAGAGGAGTATATTATTTTTATTAGAAGCATTGATGAGATGAAATGCATTTTATGGTATGAAAAGGAATCTATCCACGTATTGCTGTTAGAATTAGGATCAATTTTCGTGGAGAACCGAATGAATAAACCAAAAGAGTAAAGTAGTATAAACCTCTTGTTCGGTGAATATGTGTCCATATGACAAAAAAAAAATCTTTACGCATTGCATGACATCCTTCAGGTGATGCCCTTGAACTCGATGCTCAAAGAACCACAATAGCGCCGCCGGGTGCACCGTGTTGCCCTTGAGCTGCGTCGTGCTGTTGTTGGTGAGCTCCAGCAGCCCCAACGGCCGGCGTGATGATGGCTGCCGTCCAGCGAGAGCGGCGCGCCAGTGAAGCCCGAGTAGACGAACTGATCATCTCCAGCGCTGAGGACGATGAACTGCTCATCCCTCTGTTCTTCCTCCCTTCCGGCATGATGCCATGGCGGCGTCTCCGACTTCCACGAGCAGAGCGGCGGCCGTCCGACGCGCCTACAACGAAGAGGGTCAAGCGGCTCCGAGGCAGAACAGGAGAAGGCGGGCCCAATAGCAGCCGCGCTAGGGCCCAAGAGGAGGGTCGATCCCAAGCGTTAGCCTTACCACACCAGGCCCTAGCTATCTCGCTCGGTCCCCATCCGTATCGAGCCATTGTCTTGCTGTCCGTCCGCATCAAGGAACCGCCGCCGCTGACCGACTCCCACGACGCTGCCGCAAGCGCGCTGCTGCCGCGCAGCGCAGGGGCATGGGCGCATAATGGAGGATGGATTGGGGGATGGTCTTCTTTGATTTAGCTAAACAGTGAGAACATGATAGTCAATTGGTAGTTCTTTGGCGACGTCTTCACACCGAGACCTTAGTGTTGAGAGAGAGACAATTTTTTTTTTTTGTAGAACCCTTGAGCCACGTGATTATATTCATGTACTGATGTACATATAACTGCGAAAGTCCTTGTGAGAACCAACAGATTAATGAAGAACACCATATCAACATTTCTGTGGCACTATGAATGGAAAAAAATATCAATGTTGTTTGGGAAAATACACTGTTAAAAAGTATAAAAAGACTAAAATGAGGAAAGAAAATGCATTAATGTCAAGAGAAAAGTAAGTAAAAGTAGGATTAGTGGAGAACCAGCTGATGTGTTCTTGATGCTTGACGATGAGCAGAAAACTACAGTGTGGACCGTGGAGTAAAAGGAAAGTTGTGTATGTACATAGAGTTGTAATGCAGAGATCCAAGGTAATGGTGACTTTGATTTTGATGAAGAATTTAACTAAAATCGATAACACCACCTTGCAGTAGTAAGACTTTTTGTGAACTAAACTTTCTTCTTTGCATGGAAAGAGAATATATGTTCGCAAACATAAACTTGGCATTTGATACTTACTTTCTGCAAATCTGCAAATTTGTCCATTTTTCCGTGAATTAAGTCCCTGATCAGATTCTGTCACGCACTGCATTCTCCAAAATGTTACGTTAAAAAATTTAACAAATGAGAAATCTATGGCTGTGTAGTCGGAAATTGGTGTTGCCCTGAACAAATGAGAAATCTATGGCACCAAAATAGATAAGTAGGAACTGGTTCGAACCATGGATGCTTTCATATTTCAATAGAATTTGTACGTACTGTTCTTTTGGTTAATCTGTAGCTGTAAAAAAATTCAGACATAGGATGGTGAATCGAGCAGCAAGAGTAACAAAAGAAAAGATGCATACACTCATCCAACGTAAATGAGATGAGAATTTGGGTACCTGTGTGACCCCGGAAGAGCCTAATGAAGCACAAACTCTGCGGAGATTCCCTTGTTGGCAAAATTGTTGAGCACCTTTGGAGCTATAGCACAATCGTGAAATCATGAAACCTGACAACTAATGAAGCATAAACTCTGCAGAGATTCCCTTGTTGGCAAATCGTCGAGCACCTTTAGAGCTATAGCGCAATCGTGAAATCATGAACCCTGACAATTGCAAATATGAACCTTAGGGATAGGAGAAAGTAGGAGATGCTAAAAATTAGAACGGACACTTGCCTGGCCACTTGCCTGAATGGAGGGTGATGGCAGAGATGAGAACGTGAGGATTTTAACGCGAAGGCAGTGGCGGCGGATGAAGCAGTTTCTTCCGCATCTTGCGACTGGATCGGATAAATGCCGGCATCATGCGATTGGATCGATGAATGCTGCAGTCCGTTGCAGGAGCATTTGTGGGTCAGGTAAGTGGAAGGAATGGTGGGGAGGAGATCAAACGGAAGCAGGAAAGGAGAAGAGGGAGAGGCAGGCGAGTTGGCCGATGGTGTTCTCCTCGAGAATTTCTGCGCCGCCGGGAAGGAGAAAAGGCCGACCCATGGTGTTGTGTTGGCGTGGACAGATGGTGACGTGGCTTCCTCACAACGCAGGAAAATATGCTCCTATCTAGCTATAGGAGATACAAAGACGCGTAAATCTTTTACGGGTTCAAGAAAAAAGTTTACTTATAGTTAGAAAATTTTGACCGAGAACAAGACAAAACAACCTACATTTTGGTAATGTTCAACGGCGTAAAACTAATGGATTGGTTATTGTGAGGAACAAATAATTAAGAAGACTATTTTGAAGGCGAACAAGGTAGAAAGTTCTTTTCTTTTTACAATTATGTGTTTTGGCAATTTGCATGGCTCGAGGATATATATGTCCTGCCCATATATTACGCTTGCACCGAACCTAGTCGACACTAGCCCATTCGTTCTCCGGTCCACACTCCACAGGGATATCCTTTGCCAGAATGCTAGTTGCCATCCTTCAGAAGTTTGGATCATCTGAAAGGAGATCGACGAAATGATTAAGGGCATGTTCGTTTTGGCCCGGAACGGCCCGGATCGCGGCCAAATCTGTCCGGATCGAATAGGCCCGGTTCAAAGCCAAGCCGATCAATAATGGCGGTTCGGTTAGATACGGCCCGGAATGCAAACCGGTCAATCCGGGCCTTTTTTTCCCCCTCTTTGGCCTGGAACGGAGACGGACCCTCCTACGTGTGGAACCTATCCTGGTGACGGCGGTCCGCGATTGCAAACCGGTCAATCGGCGGCGCGGGCATCGCATCGCGGGGACGCGA